GAAGGTCAACTATGGCTCGAATGTTTCAGTGGTTATGTTCCTGATTGCAACACTGGACGACGCGGGTTTGAACCTCAGAGGAAAGATGTGTTCCTTAGAAGTTACAGATACTTTTTGCTGATGAGTGCTAACAAGGACAAAATGTAGGTCAAGTAGCGCTTCCTGCTAATTGCCTTCAACTTAGGTCACGATAGTCTTGTTATGGTGACCATATGAAAAGTTAGACAAAATAAAAATATCATGGAGGTTAAATTCCAAAAGATAAATAATATGAGGTGGAAAATTCCATTTCATTGTAGAACCATAGTGTAATAAAATGTTTCGTCACATTTATTTGAAAGCATACTGAGCATAATGAAGTCTACATATCGTCACCGAGCTATTTAAACATTCACCTAGGATAATCTTATTTCGAAGTCAACATGAGCGTAACTAGATTTGTTATTTTAAGTTTCTGATTGTAAATTGTTCACAGGTTTTTTCATTAAGTTATAAATTGCTATTTCTTGACTAGCTAACGATCTAATGCATACGTGACCTACTTACCTTAATTCCCAAGAGATTATATATATGAATGTAGCATACACCTCAATAAAATATTTAAGGCGAAAAATATATGATTTCATTCTTTCAGGTTTTTACGTGGATTTCAGTTTACACTTAAGCATTTATTTTTGAAGCACTACTGTAAATGAACTCAGTACTTTTTATTCCCATGAGTTCATAGTCATGAAGAATGACATTACTGAATACAAACTAGTATTCAGTTACATCCATAGATATCCAAACAAATCGCTTGCAGAAAATGAAAGTATAACAACCGAAATTTCTCTGTGACAAGTATGCAAAACATAAGCTGTAATTAGCACTTTGAAAAACTTAAATTTGTACAAGTACTCCTTATATATATATATATATATATATATATATATATGTAGGTTAATGCGGATTTTAATATAAAGACAGTATTCATTACGGACTGATATCAGTTGATGAAACACTGAAAATCTGGGAGTACAGAACAGCTGTCTTGCCCGAGTGTGTAACTTCTCAGATGAACGCCTCTGCGACCCGACTAGGGGTCGAAATCAAGACCTTCAGTTTTCACGGCGATGTTAACTATTAGGCCACCGTGCCAGAATTTAATGATTCATAGTTTTCAATTTCTGTCCATTCGCGATATAGCGCAACTATCACCCCAGGTCTTCAGTTGGCATCCACATTACTTCGGAATGGTTGATTCCAGAGGTCATGCATGACTTTTTATTAGAACTTCAGGATGTCTGTCCCGAAGCCTGTCACTGATAAGCCTAATGGTTAACGTGTTTGGCGTTAAAGCTTAAGTTCTGGAGTTCGATTCCAAGTCAGGTTGCGAGTATGTACTGCTGAGGAGTCCTGCCGTGAGACGAAACAGATGTCCAGCAAAACCAGATTCACAGTGACTTTTATTAGCTATGCCTCCTTAAGACTGACTAATGTTGCACATTGCCAAGAGGTTTCGAATCGCAACAGAACATCTTTGCAATAGTCCTTGGCTTTCAGTATTTCTTCAGTTGACAACATCTGACAAAAATGTATGTTTTAACTAAAAGACCTGTAATTTGTAATTCATACATACCTATATGCGTATATATGATCTGTAGCATTCTGTTGGGAGCTTTCCACTCTTCAGCGACTTATCTCTACTACTAACTGAGTCCAGCAGGATGTCAGTCGCATTCTAAATAGTTGACTACTAACGCCTGTGACTGTGGCACTGGGTATGGCGGGTTCGGATTTTTGAAAGCCACCAGTGTGTTCAAGGTTACTTCTTTTGATGACAAACCCTTCGTAGCCCGAAATGTACTTTTAAGGATTTCCACCATCTGTCTTCAGGCATTCGATACATATATATATATATATATATATATATATATATATATATATATATATATATAAGTCAAGGCTATCCAGAGTGATAATAATGACTGACTGACTTAAATAATCAACGTAGTACCTCGTACACAGGTGCGTTGGCTCAAATTGCCACACTTCACAGCAGTATACAAAGAACAGCCGGGTAGGAAAATGGTGATTTCATAGTGGAAAACGTTGTGTGAGAGAATAAAGAATCTTAAGATAACGGTAGGTGCGAATATTCAAGCTTTAGAAGATATCAAGGAGTAAATAAATCTGTATCAGTGTGACCGACTTCCAGCCATGTCATGATAATAATAATAATCACTTTATTCCAAACAATTCTGGTACAATCTGAAACTCTCAGCAGGCAACATTACAACAAAAATATACTCCTTTACGTTTATATAATAATTTAAACTATACAAAGAATATTAGTAACGAGAATAATTGTAGAATAATGGTAAAATATTCGAAAGCCTGATTGTTTATTGTTAGGAATTTGGTGAGTTCTGTTCTAACACTTTGTTATCACATAAGATGTATGCTAGGTAAGGCACAGCTGAATTCTCACATTTAGTTTTACGAGCATACAGTCTTCTGTAACTTCGTCTTGTCCAAACTAAGGATGCACAAGAAGAGAGATGTGGATGAAGTTTATGCTCGGTATCAGATAAAATGACTGTAGATAGTTGCCTGATTGGACTTCAGTGTCAGTCAACTACAGTGGTAATAGTTAAGCCTTACGATTCTGAAAGCTTTAAAAGCCTTATGCGAAATAACATAGTCTTCATTTTGTAGACGACTAGGAAAGATCAGTGGGGAACAATAATGAAGAATAGGTGAAATACAGGAGTAAATAATCTGTAGAAGTACATGATGAGTTTAACTAGAGAGTTTCAGCTTTGTTATATAATACTTTGAGCGTAAGTTCTTCTTGGGAGTCAGCAAGATTTGAGATGAGATCAGAAGCAAAACTCAATCGAAGGTAGTTACTACTTTATTTCCTTTCTATAGCAATACCATCAGTGATACAGGCGAAATGAAATTAAGGTAGCTCTCACAAGTTTTTTACGCTAGGGGCCATAGTTGGCAGTGTGGCATTTAGAAGGGTTTGGCTTGAGACCAGTTAAGAAAAACCACTGGCCAATTTCAGATAAAAAACTACAAAATTTACACTAGATCACTGGCCTTTCATAAAGATATTTGCAGAAAAGAGAGACAAGCGGCAGACATGTATTATAGTAAGACTCTTGGATAACTACTTCAGAGAATCTGGAAGTATGATTTCATTTAAGTATATTCTAATGTTACATGTTAGTTTTCAATAATCGTGGGACACTAGATAAATTCTGCTGCCCGTACCATTTTTTGGCAAATATTAATCACAGATGTGAAACATTATCATTCTTTAATATCAGAAAGAGGATACTAATACGTCTTCTTGGCAACAACACAACTTAGTTCAACCCAGAAGTGAGTATTCACATCCACTTGCTTCCGAGGTACTTCTGGGTCAGTGTATTACACTCAGAAGTTGATATTACTAGCTGCCATTTAACAACTTGTGACACATCATGATCTATAAATCAATAGTATCAGTAGCATATTCCTTCAATTAAAGAACTGACTGATTTGTTTAGTGGCATGGTCTCACTCCAGATTTGTAAAGTCTTCACTTTTCAAACCCCTAAGGAGTTTAGGTGATACATCTACTCTCACTGAAATATTACTGAATTTCTTTATTGTTTCATTCAGTTTTGGGCAGTGCAAATATGAAACAGGATCCTTTGTCATTGTTGAATAACCTCCATTAACTGATTCAACTATTTTCCTATTGTGAACAAGATGTTTTTGAAGTAATCTAGAGTTCAAACACATCAAAATAATATTTCTAGAAATATCTAACTTAAGTGATCGCAGTATGGAATAGTAGAATCCTAGTAATACAAACAACTAGTCCAGTCGCCGAATATAACTAATACATCGTATTGATCATTGAACTTTTATTAAATCACGTAGAATCTGTTGTTGCATTTAGAAAAAGAAAAGAAGAACAGATGAAATGAAGATTACGCACGCGTATACAAATACGCATATATGCTTATGAAAGCTTATTTCTCTTAAAATACCCATTTTTGACAAGATATATGTATATATCAAAAGACCGAGTTTTATCCAACTGAGATAGCCATTGCATAGTTGGCGTTCTCATAAAGAACAAACGTCTGAAGGATACAGTATACACAGAAACAAACATTCGAAAATAATGGTCTAGAATTTGAGAATTCCAGAAGCATCCCACCGATAAACGAAGCAACAGAACAGTAAGTTTTACACTAGTTAAAAAGTGATTACCAAATAAAAGTAAACAACACAAAGAACTATAATATGGAAACTAGAAGGAGGAGGTTAAGTGGTATTAACCCGATAGATTTGTTTGATTCACGCAAAATCAGCATTAGTTATTCACTTGATCTTATCTATCAAAGAGAAGAGTATTGCATAGAATAAATGAATATTTTGTAGAACGCAGTCAAAAAAGTAGCTACATAAGTTTACTTATCTAAACAAATACTTATTCACTGTGAATATTAGTGTATCTAAACAGGGAATGAATGACTGACTGACTGACTGTTAGAAGGAAGACTGAAATGAAACCCAAGACGAAAACCATATAAAACAATTTTCTAATGCTCCTTTTTTCAAAATAATCGTCTCCGATAAATAGATTTATGTATATATCTGTCCTCTAAAAGATGATACAAAACTTTAAATAAATTATGTCTTGCTTTCAAAATGAAATCTCAGATTGAATTAGTTTTAATATAAATGTTTGAGAAACTGAAACGTTTCTATTGTAGCTGTTTCTTCTAACAATATTAGTCAGTTTTGTTAAGAATTATCATTCTTTTTCAACATACAGAAATATGCATCTCAGACATTAAAAAAAGTATTAAACACGATTATCACTACTCCAGCCGTTCGTGATTTTGCTTCTAGCGATGAGATTGCATTTAACATCTTTTTCACGGAAGGGATTACGAATTTTCGGATTGGTCGATGAGGAATTTTGTCACACACACAAACACATAGTTTTCTGCTAACACTAAAATGGACTTATGCTTATGAATCTTTGTCAATAAGCTTTATATCATTGCAATGATATTCATATTACAAAAAAAGACGTTCACAAATATCGGCTAAGGTGCAAATATTTGATAACACCAAAATAGTTTGGCGTTTTGGGATCATAATGGTTCAACAAAAGTGAAAATAACTTTTCCTCGAATTAGACATTGCAAACACTGTACAAATCAAGAAACATTCAGAAATGTCACACACAAACGTTGGACTAACAGTCATTAAACCTTAATGTCCACACTTGGTCAGTACGCCGTTTTACGACTTCTCCTGCTGTATGGTAAGTTCAGAAATTATCTTTACCTGTTTAATGGGAAAAAACTTGGATAAAAATTAGGTATAAGAAATTAATTCTCTTCAATTTCATATTTACATGGGTTCCTAGTGGAACACAGGCATCAGTAGCACGTCTCCAATGCGCTCAGTTCTCTGAAAGTTTTTAAACCTGGTTCCATGACTGCCCAAAAGCTCACATTTCTACCTCACACCATCTCCTCCATGTCACCCTCGCCTCGGACGCCCAACTCGTCGTTTCCCATCTGGGTTCCACTCGAGTGCCTGGCGCGTGATGTCCCCGAATGGTCTTCTCAGTGCATGCCCAATCCATCTCCACTTCCTTCCACTGCATATTTGTTTGGTTGGTTTGTTGCCAGGCAGAGGGAGTTCCTTGTTGCTTATTCTTTCTGGCCATCTGATCTGATGCTCAGTATCGAGTGAGCGTAGGTGGCAGTTGTTGATGAATATCTGTAGTTTGTTGGAAATGCTTTTCGTGACGCGCCAAGTCTCTGAACCATGTAGCAGCACTGACTTGACGTTGGTGTTGAAAATCTGGATCTTGATCCACATGCTGAGTGCAGAAGATCTCCACGCTGATTTAAGATTAGTGAAAGCCTGTCTTGCTTTTCCGCCTGTAGTTGAAAGGATGCTGCCTTGCCTAGGTGAGTGAAAGAGACCACTTCGTTTACATTTCTCCCGTTGATGGTGATTGGTGCTTGTTGCTGATGCTGTTGTTGATTGGGTATCTTCTGTCTTCCCTACGTTCACCTGAAGTCTCGTCTTTGCTGCCCTACCTCTTCTGCCAACTTGTTAGTTTTCACCTGTAGATCTTCGAGTTTGTGCGACAAGACATCAGACATAAATCATCATTGGCGAAATCCAAATCTTCTAGGGTCTTTTCATCGGTCCAGCCGGCGTATGCCCCTCTTCTCGCTCCTCACTGTTTGCTGCATGATCCAGTCGACCACAATCAGGAAGATGATCTGTGATACTGGGCGACCTTATCTTACTACCGTCTTCACTTCAAAAGCATCCCTGAGCTTTCCATTGTGGATCACTCGGCATATGGCGTCTTCATATAGCTGTTGAATGAGGTTGATAAAGATTAGTGGCACTCCGTAGTGTTGAAGCAACTGCCTGGCAAATTACTCCTCGGTCGACGCTGTTGAAGGCCTTTTCAAAGTCGATGAAGTTGAGGTAGAGGGTTGACTGCCATTCGATGCTCTGTTCATTGATGATGATGCGTAGTGTTGCGTTGCAATTTGGTCCGCACATGATTTGTACTTCCTGAATCCAGCCTGTTCCGGTCGCACCAGACCTGACTGTGCCTAAACTAAATTAACGAATACCGAAACTTTAAAAGATCAGAGGGTATGTAGCGTTAGTTTCCTGATACAAAATGCACTTCATTTAGTAAATATTTCTACAGATTTTACTATATCTGTTTCTAGCGAACGCTGTCAATATCGTAACTACTAGGTATCAGATGCATATATAACTCATTTCTTGCTTCATGTTGGAAGTCGGTCGACAGGAATCCCTGGACTTCATGCTACATGCTTCTTGACAATCAGCGGTAAGGTGTATCTACAACCATAGTGAATCCGATTCTCCCTTTATAATTCGGACCTGCATCTCTCAATGTCGAAATCAGAGACATAACCACTGAATCATTCAAGTCATGGATGGTCCGCTGTAGGAACATATTATGAGTACATTAAGCAATTGATGTAGCTTTTGATAGAATTCAATCATCTCTAAGTGCTATCGGCTTGTAAAATACATTGATTACCCAACAGTGACTGATTCATTTACCTAGATAACTATATCGAACATCACACCGTAGTTACACGCAAATTAAGGTAATATCTTTCATTTAAGAAGTATGATTTTATTTGTTGATTTTAGACTGCTATCACTGTTACTGACGCAAAATAGCTGAGCTTCCGGAAAATCTTTTCCTGGAAGGAAGTAATAAGTGATGAAAGCTTTCTCAAACAAACAGTGGTTCAGTTGTCAGTTGAACTACTGTAAGACTGAATAAAAATCCGAATCTGCTATTATAAACCAATAACCCATTTGACAGTCACACAAATACAATACTGATAAAACAACAGACACCATTATAGCAACAAAAGTAAACTCTACCACTGACTGAAAATTATCAAATGTCAAAATATACCCATGTTTCGATAAAAAAGAAAAGTACGGTTTCGAAATAAATCTAATGTTAAAAATTTATGAACAAACTTTTAGAAATATAAGTGAAAAACTTGGGCACGCAACACCTATACCAGAGATATGGAAAACTTTACTACCAATAAAAAAAACAGAGAGATCAGGTGACAGGACTATAAAATCAGATATCGAAAGAAGTGTCATTACATTGATATGATTATGAGCAATAATTTATGCTCGAAACGTAATCAAGTAAATAATACTGTATCACTGTGCGCTTTATATCAAATAAACAAACTTTTAGAAACTTGTGACAAATAATAATGATCGACTTCAAACAATTTTAAGCATGTAAGAAAGACCAATACATGGATCCTAATTTGCTCCTGTAATGTTTCGTAAATATTTAGATGGTTAGTGGTGGATAGTGGCTAGCAGTGGAATCGAGAGCGCACATTTTGTCCTACTTGGGACCCGTCAGCTAGATGTACCTGCCTCCCAGTGAGTTGTTCCCGCCGGGATTCGAACTCGTAAACGGTTGCTTCAAACGTCACAGCGTTATTCACTACACCACCGAGTCCGGATCCCGGTGAGAACAACCCACTGGGAGGCTGGAACATCCAGCTGACGAATTCCAAATAGTACGAAATGGGCATCCTGGATTCCACCGCTAGCCATTATCCGTCATTTCTATAATTGAAATACAGGTAATATAGAGTCATCCGGAAAAGAGCCCATATTCCAATAGAGACCGATCAATTCGGTTTAATCAACGATGGTATAACACAATCAATTATACTGTTTAGATGGTTGTGGTATTAGGATATTCAGAAGTTACTCACGAGATAGTCTAAAAGTAGGGGAAATCAAAAAATAGAATAATTTAAGAACTCTCTAGCGCAAAGTTGGCGAAACAGATGGACAAATGTTGCTCAATAATGACAGTGAATAAGTAGAAATTCAAAAGAACATACCAGATATAAAACATATATAAGCCAGCAAAATTGCGTTAGAGAAAAATGTCACTGACCAATTCTGTCATTTGTAAATATCAACTGCGACATCAAGTTAGTTCAAACATAATTGCAACAGTGGTAATGAAAATAATTACAGAAGTATGAAGACCGTATGTTACATACACTGTGATCAAAACATAAACTTCACTAACTGAAAATTGACGAAATAATTCTTTCCTTACAACACAGACAACTCAGATAACTTGCAATAAAAAGATAATTACAATATAAACAACATTTGTTTCCTTCTCAAGTCAAACTACTTCGGAACTACTACTGAGATGTCTTAAAGAAACGACTATATAGTGTTCACATCACTCTGATCTAGCTGGCAAAATCTACAAATCAGACTGAGGGGTTTCTAACTACTTAAGTTGTTCAGTAGTATATATCGATAGTTCACGACAGTTTTGTGTCAGATATCAAGCTCTATGCTGTTGGCTGAGTAGTTTTTAACTGGAACTCTGTTGACACGACAATTGAGCATTTGGAAGACTACCCAACAGCGAGAAATGTCAACGTGGCAGTGCAATTTGTAAATCAGCTGCAACTTCATCAACCTGTTTTGAGGTGTCTCACTGACTTTGATGATTTGCCAAGATATGTAATATGCACCTATTTAAATAATGAAATTTTTTTACTTGAATAGGAGTGAAATAAAGTTGCAGCTATTTTATTTTATATCATTCTGAATGTAGTATACGGGAAGACATTCATCTACACTAAAGAAATATAAGTAGTAGAATTATGCTAGGCTATGGCCTAAAACCAGAGTAAGATTAAGAAAAGCCTAGAACTTGAGCAATGTAGTATATTCTAATTCCATTACAAATTTTTTACTATATGTATTGCAAAGTAAAGCGATATTTTTCACTGAATAACCTTTAATATACAATTTGTTCCCCATATTCATTTAAGAGTAGGATATAATATAATTACTGGCAATAAACTGTGTCAAACACGTCATTCAACTTTTTTAAAACTTACATTTATACTCAAATGAGACGATTTACCTTTTATGGGAAAAAGCGACAGTGGAGTATCTCATTAAGTGGTTGAACATCTTCAATAGGACTTTTCACGAGACCTTAGTTCTGGTCAATAAATTCAGTGCACAAGAAAAACCCGATATTAGACATTTTCCTCGACTAGTTATATCGCTGGAGAAAACAAAAGAACTGTTGGAAGTATTTTTAAAAATCACAGATTTTGGTGGTCTGTGCAAAATGAAAAATCTTCATGAAAATCAGTCTACTAACAAGTAGATGTATTTCTAAAACCTAAATTCATAAACTTGAAATATCTAGTTCTTTTACTAAATCAGACAGGGCAAATAAGACAAAGTGTGTAGTATATGTGGTGTTTCACTGCATTCTCCACAGCTACTAGGCCATTATAAGTCAGTTCAATGAATGAAAAAAGAACGAATTATTTAATAATGCAAAACTCATGTTCCATTAAAGCATGATAAGAGGGATGCTCATGTAAAACTGTAGCAAAATAGTTCACTACTGAGAATCTACATATGATTAATAAACAGTAGAAAACGTTAGCAAGAAGGTAATCATGACCCTCACATGAAATAAGAAAAGACACACATAAGTGAAGATCAGCGACTCATAATCATTATAAAGACAGAAAAGAGAAAATGCGGAAGACAGGGTTAAAATCTGTAAGCTTTTCAGTAAGTTATTAGTGCTTTCATCACTTAATGCTTTTGGACCAAGCCCTAACCTCTTAATCTAGATACCTTAAGCAGCCCGGAGCAGAGTTGAATGAAAGTTTTTATTAATAATCCCGAAGGCTTTTG